TTTTTTTTTTTTTCATTTGAGGTTTGGACACTAAATGCTCCCGGCCATGGACATCGACTCAGACATTGCGAATTGGATTCTCGAGTTCCTCCTCCGGCAGCCGCTCGAGGGACGTACACTGACCTCCCTCCTCCGCGTTCTCCCCCTCGCAAACGACGAAGCCCACCTGAAAAAGATGATCTTGCTGCAGAAAATCGAGTCCGAGGTATCGCATAATTCAGTCTCCGAAGGCATTCTTGAATTGTTCGAGCAGTTGGAGGAATTGGAGTTTCGAAATGGGAATGAGACGGTTTCGGACGCCATGAAGCGCGCGTACTGCGCCGTGGCCGTGGAGTGCACGGTGAAGCTCCTGGCGAACAGAGGCGACAGGGATAATGCCGGCAAGTTCAATTTTTTCGAGGCCGTTAAGAGGGTTTGGAGGGGCAGAATCGGGAGGATGGAGAAGATGGCGGAGAAAGGAGGATTGGGCTCGGACGAGCTTTCGGACTGGAAAGACGAGATCGAGGCTGCCGTGTGGGAAGATAGCGTCTGTGATGGTGTTGTGAAGAAGAGTGCGGAGTTTAATGGGGTTGAGGCTGTTAGAGCTTATTTGAGGGAGGAAAGAGAGAAAATGGGTCCCTCATTTCTCGAGCTTGTGGCTGAGGGTGTTAAGAATGGTGAGGTTATTCAGGGGGTTTTGGGCATGGACAATGGCGGTCGGATAGTAGCTGAGAAGGAGGGTCGTGCTGGCGACGTAAGTAATGTTGGCAATGGTGAGTTTACGCTTCGAAATCGCTATTATTTTTGGCCCATCATTTTGTTAATTTTTCTCATATGATGCTGAAATTAGTGGATTGCAATATTCTTTTTCTCTACGGTGCTTATTAAACTTCATTTTGGTTTTTAACCTTCTTGTAGAGATGCAAAAGAAAAGAATTAAACTCAGGGATAAGCTCGTTGGTTTGCGACGTTCTAGAGGATTGCTGTCTCGCAGTTCAAGAGGAGCCAAAATTGTTGAATCTGATGAGAATATATCAGGCCCTTCCTTCAGAAATTACAATATGCCATCGAGTGCAGAGATTAATAGAGTTCGGGAAGCAGTTGTGAAGGATCCCCTTCCGGATGCATTACAGTTTGCGGAAAGAATCTCTGGTGACTCGATAAAAGACAAAAATGATGAACCCGGTACAGAAAATAATCTTTTTCGGCCCAATCCGTTCATTGTGGATGGTGGTGGAAATGTTCAAGGAAATATCCCGAATGTGAATAATGCACCTAAGCCGAGTTTGATGGAACGGAACATTACTGTGCATACCTTTGAGGTGACCTTCTTATAGTTTTATTCATATATATATATGTAAACTATATATAATATATATGTCTTCAGTTTACATAAATGTAAACATTAGAAGATAGAAGTTCTTTGATTCGTCATTTGTTTTGGAATGAATTGTATGTGTATGTGATTCTTCTTGAACAATTGTCATTTGTTTTGGAATCAATCCACTTTTTCCTTTCCATTTGTTGCCTTACCCTTGTGTCAGTTGTTATCGTCAAAGAAAATTAGTAGCAACGAGCTGCTTAAATTTCGTTTAGCACACATCACAGAAGTTAGTAATAAAATATAAATGACCGAATTAAGTGAAACCGAAGATGAACTACCATGAAGTTTCGGTTTGATGGAAGTGCATAATACCTATGGGAGAGGGCAATTAAGACAACTGATAAAGATTCTTGCTTGCGGAGTTAATCGTGCTGAGTTATACATATAAATGTGTAGATAATTACTGTTTTTTTTTTTTTTTTTGCAGTGGGAAGAATCGATTGATGGATCACAAGAAGACCAATCTTCTAGACACATGCTTGTGTTACATAGCCCAAAAATTATAAACGTGTCTCCTCTAGACAGATACGGGGATAAAAACTTGAAGAGAAGGAGGAGAGGTCGAAAATGGAGTCTTGCGGAGGAAGACACGTTGAGGACTGGAGTACAAAAGTACGCGATTTTTGCTGAAATTTCTATGAAATTGACATTTGAGCATATTGTCGTGAGATAAATCATAAATAGCCCGTTTCGTTGGATAATTTGTCGAAATTTCTAGTCTTTTATCCTCTTTTCAACGTCAATGCTAATGCGGAATTTGAATATCCTGAAGGTATGGCAAAGGAAACTGGAAGGTCATTCTTACTGTGTACCGTGAGGAATTTGACGGTAGAACTGAAGTAAGTATATCCTTTCGTGTGGGTTTACTTTTTCGTCCTTTGATTGGAGATAATGAATATGTTGTTTTCACTCAGGTTGATTTGAAGGACAAGTGGAGGAACTTGACGCGCCATAGGTAAAAGTCGCATCGGATTTTTCGAACGTAAAGATAAAAAATTGCCCAGGATGGGATTCTTGATGTCTATACTGTATAGTGGTTTTAGGACTTCAGAGTAATGGCTTGTGTTGTATGGTATGCTATCTCCTCTTTTTAAGCGCTCTGTGTAATGAATAACTAGTGATTTTGTCTTGTGTAACCATCAACTCCAAATAAAGCCCCAATGCTAACCATGAAAAAGATGAGCTTCACAAGGCCAACAAAATAAAAACATAATCATAAACAACCCAAGTCAAATTTTTCACAGAACAATCTCAAACACAAATCAATTCTTTCTTTCCAATCCAAACATGCACAAAAAAAAAAAAAAAAAAAAAAAAAAAAAAAAAAAATGTAAGCAACTCATATAAAAAATCTGCCACTGGAGGTGTATAGTAAAATAGTAAATCACTAGTAGTCGATATCGGTAGAAAATCACCCATCCATGCAACTATTCTCCTGCTTCCCATCCCCAGGCGACAACCCAACTCCATCAAAACCTCCACTAGAACCCCGAGAGATCAAAGAAATGCCCGGTCCAAGTCTTTGGAGCCCGTTCCGGCCCAAATACATATCCAGCGGGTAAGCAGCAGCAGCAGCTGTGTTGATCAACGTCGTTAGGCTCATCCCTGAAGTTCCCGCCAAAATATCATCCTCACGATGTGGATCACTGTTCAAGTCCAACCGGGCTTTATTCACATCTTCCATAATAATATTATCCACTTGCTTTTTCCCCTCATTATTATTATTATTATTATTATTATTATTATTATTATTATTATTATTATTATTATTATTATTATTATTATTATTATTATTATTATTATTATTATTATTATCTAGGGCGAGCTCAGCTTCGCGATCAGACTGGCGTTTTTTCTTGCGGAGCATGAGGGTTTTGAAGCGGCGTTTGACGGTTAGGCAGACATTGCACTTGCAGTTGGGGTCGTGCCTGCCTTTACCGCTCGGGGGCTGAATGCAGACGATGCACGAGCAGCCGGGACGATGACGTGGATGCCTTGTGGTGGGCCCAGCCGTGAGCTCGGTTATGTTGTCCCCCAAGACTGCAGCATTTGCAAGTGCGTCTAGGCCAGACGAGAGCTCGCCTTCAGGGGAGCCCGATTTGCTGTCGCTAGTTCTTTGCTTCTTGTGATCTGGAATGAAAATAACAAGGAATTATGCACGAATTTTTATCTTTTTTAAGGAAAATGATTCGTCTAAAAATACAACCTACAAAACAATGATAAAGTCTGCTGTCATACCCTTGTTAGTTCTAGAGAACAAATTTGGGTCCCTTTGGTTCATCTCTTCTGGAGCAGAACACGAAGACCTGGAAAAAATCGGCATCACACAAGTTAAAATGTGTCCTACACAATTTTTCCCTTGGCCAAATTATCTCGATTATTTACATCATATTGAAAGTCTCTTAACTTTTAAGCCAACCAAAAGGGTTTATCCTATAGTTCACGGTACTTAATTAACTCGTTTAAGCTAAATACTTCGGAAAATTCTCTGACCTGTTAGTGTCCCAGACATTTTCTGTACACGTCCAATTTGCAGAAATAAGAGCTTGAACTGGCAGCTTACGCCATTTCGAGCAACTATCACATTGAACCAGTTGTGCAAGCTCCCTGATAAGATTAAATTCAAGATAATATATCAGAAGAAGAAAGAAAAGAAAAAAAAAAAGGCAATTCATATGCCAGTCCCAGCAGAAATATACCAGAAATCCTCAACAAAAAACACAAGCCAACTGAATGTCCTTTTATCCGCTTTTCACTTTAATTCAAGATGATAAATTGATAGAAAGTTCTTTGAAAAAAAAGAGAAAAATACACAGCCCATCCATCTTTTTATCAGAATCTAATGTTTGGTGGTAATTTTATCTTTGAAATAATCCTGATAACCATTACAAACATTATATGACACTCTAATTTGCAGGTTGATTATGAATGCTTTAAGTAAAATTACTTCAGGAAATTTTGATGGCACGAGCAAAATATCGAATCTTGGTTTTCGCGCACAAACAAAGTAGAGGAAAATAATCCCTCAAAACCTTATCCCTGAGTTAAAACTCTAGCCTAATTCAAAGTACCAAATTATCTTCGAACTTAGAAGTTGCCCCATGGACATTTGCTTCTTTTCAACAAATTTTGCACTCAAAATAGTGGAATTTGTCGGTAAATACAAGCTAGTTTCTTGGCCCAGGGGTAATTTTTAACAATAACTTTTAACTACAGTGAAGTCGAAGTCATAATCGATAAAATCTCCACAAGAATATATATATAATCATACCCGGAAGGTTGAGATATGAAAATCGTCCTCTTCCCAAAAATCGGGGGTTCCTAGATGAAATAAAAACAATGATAATCAACAGTTAACACAAAGATCCAAAGCAGCAATAATAATAATAATAATAATAATAATAATAATAATAATAATAATAATAACAACAACAACAACAACAACAACAACAACAACAACAACAACAACAACAACAACAACAACAACAACAACAACAACAACAACATCATCATCATCATCATCATCAAGTGCACATAAAATTTTATTTACTTCAAACTCTTCAAACTCATAATCCTCGACCATGAAAACAGTCGGCTCGGTAGATGGAGGAGGACGCAACAACTCTTGTGCTTCTTCCCAATTAATCCTAAGCTCTAGAGCATCATCATTGTACATGTGAAGCCTCTTGTTCTTAATATTTCTTGGTTTTTTCTTCTGCAACACGCTGCTCAGTTGCATCTGCCGAGAATCTTCAGATCCTCTGCCTCCATTCTAACACATTATTTTGTCAAATAGCAGTTAGCACCATCTCGATTATAATCTATTTACGAAAAAAAAAATTAATATGATATGTATTATTAGAGTAGAAAAATAGCAAGTTAAACAATATACCGCTGGCAGATTATCATTGCCGCCTGATGATGATGTGTCTCCCGGTGGATCAGAATTTGGAATTGCTGGAGTTTGAGGTTCCTACTCGGTTTTCAAGAAAATGTGTTAGAGATTTGCTGTAAATGCAAAAATCAAAAAAAAAAAATTAAAAAAAAAAAGAGAATTACTGACCTGGACATCAGTATTGGTTATTGTCTTGCGACAGCCTATGACAAGTTGACCTCCAGGATCTCTCCTACTAAATATCACTAAAGACGCAATAAAACAAGTGTATTAGTACCATCACAAAGTAACAATCATATATTACTTTTCCTATTTTGTTGGAAATCAAATCGTGTTAAGTTGACCCAATTTTAATTAAAAATGTCTATTTTACGGTTTTACCTTCTCATTCAATGGATTATGGAAATAACATATCAAAACTTTTTTTTTGATTTACAAACACTATACATAACTAATCTATCACTTATTCATAATTATCTTCATTGAACAAACAAATAATATCTACTTTTTTATTCTAACATCACCCGACCTAGAAATTTACACTCAATTGCTTTTTATACAGACATAAAAGATAAGCATCACCTATTTTATAACGTATTTCTGTCCTAAAAGTTCAATAAGAAATACTTAAAACTCACATATTCTGAACATTACAAAATGTCACATATCTTTCATCCAAACATTTTTCTCAATTTTCATACAAAAACAAATACACAACAACAATGTCCCCATAGCTACTGGCACCACTAGAAATTGGACCGTAAGAAGATTCCAAAAATGCACTGTAACTATACAAAAATATATCATGAACTATATTGTAACAGTAAATCTAATTCGTAAGCCCTTTTAACCCGAAAAGTGAAGAAACAAAAGAGAGAGAGAGAGAGGGAGAGCAAGAAATCTGAACCTGTCCTGAAAACACCCTTGAAAAAAAAAATGTTCATTGAAGTGCATTACGTCACAATCAAAAAAGTGGGTAATAAAGAGAAAAAAAAAAATCATTTAACATGTGAATTGCTGGCAAAAGATGCACGAGACTTCAAAAATAAAAGGAAAATCAACCAAAATTCGAGATTCAGGATATCTATACACACAGAGAGAGATTAACAAAGTATATTACCTGTATCACCAGCTTGTACTTGCATACTTTGGATGCAAGGTGTTACACCCTCCAAAACATACATCCTGCTGTTGTTGTTCGGCCAAAACCGGAACTGAAATGTCCACTCTTTTCCCTTAATGTCCTGAATCTTTATAGGTATACCTTCTGATTGATTTATAGTAGGGAAGTATGCCTGCATTGAAAGAATTAATTACCAACACAGAACTTATATATAAGAGAAGTTCCACAAAATCTCTCTCTCTCTCTCTCTCTCTCTCTCTCTCTCTCTCTCTCTAGAAACTAATACTCACTTCAGCACAGGCTTTCGGAAGGACCAGACGGCCAATTCTGCCAGCATCACTAGCACTGAGAATCTTCTCAAATAATGGCACAATAGTGGAGTTCAAACTAGAGACTAAAGTTAAGGTAACAAGTAAACAAGATTTGCAAAACGATACTATAGATACATAAACATTCGATTTTCGTCACATAATTTCGAAAGAAACATGATTGTAGTCGGGTGACATCATGACCAATTTGAAACTCTTATACATTCACAACACAATTAAAAAAAAAAAAAAAAAAATCAATTTTACCCAAAGGCAGGCAAATAATATTCATCGAACTCAGACATGTAAAATTCAAAACCACTAGCAATAATAATTTTTTTTCGAGGATACTCTCCAGATAACTGCTGCAACTCTTGATCTGTGATCCTCGGCCAATAACGAGGAAGCAGCTGGCTACGGCCCCGCCCTTCCGCCGGAGGCCTCGGGACCCGAACCTGAGAACCGCCAGCTCGACTCGTCTCAGAGCCTGCCATTGGACTAGGTTTTGGCGGCTTTGCAAGAACAGGGCGTGTCTTTTGTAAAGAACCTTTGTTCTGATCACTCCCCTCGACAATCCCACCAGCAAAATGTGGTGATAAACTGCTCGAGCCAGCTAAAGGAGGGTTTGCTGACAGGGAGAAACTCAGACAAGGCTGAGTTAGAGATTCTGGCATGTCCTTATTAAGGTGATGTCTTGTCCCCATATTGTCTGGTTTAATGAAAACAGACGAAGGGGCACTTGTTAAGTTTCTTCCCGTCTCAGAGGTTTTTAGCACGGACGGTTCATCTCGTTTGATCTGCTCGAATGCTGAGGTTATGTCGTTGACCCCTATGGACTTGGTCAACTGCAGGGGCCTCTCTGTGCTGAATTTGTCATCGTCTAATGTGCCGTCCATTGCTTTTATAATCAGCGAGTCAAATTTGCCATTAAGAATATCACTAGGGGTCTGAAAAACGAGTATAAAAAGTAAATCAAAAACAAAGAATATATATGTGAATATTACATGTGTGTGACGATAGGAACCACACTTGAATTTTCAAGGGAATAGAAAATGAAAATGCAGATAAGAAGTATATTTAAAAGCACTGCATTAGGTTTTATTGTTTTAATTGGCGGTAATGAATCATATAGCAGGCTAGCAGCAATCAGCTAAGAGGTGAACTTATGTCCTTTGCTATGATCACTCCCCTCGACAATCCCACCAGCAAAATGTGGTGATAAACTGCTCGAGCCAGCTAAAGGAGGGTTTACTGACAAGGAGAAACTCAGACAAGGCTGAGTTAGAGATTCTGACATGTCCTTATTAAGGCCATGTCTTGGTCCCATATTGTCTGGTTTAACGAAAACAGACAAAGAGGCACTTGCCAAGTTTCTCACCATCTCGGGGGGTTTTAGAACAGACAATTCATCTCGTTTGATCTGCTCGAATGCTGAGGCTATGTCGTTGACCCCTATGGACTTGGTCAACTGCAGGGGCCTCTCTGTGCTGAATTCGTCATCGTCAAATGTGCCATCAATTGCTTTTATTATCAGCGAGTCAAATTTGCCATTAAGAATATCACTAGCGGTCTGAAAAATGGGTCGATATAAAAAATAAATAAAAAAAAGAATATATATGTGAATATTACATATGTGTGTGACAATGGGAACCACACTTGAATTTTCAAGGGAATAGAAAATGAAAATGCAGATAAGAAGTATATTTAAAAGCACTGCATTAGGTTTTATGTTTTAATTGGCGGTAATGAATCATATAGCAGGCTAGCAGCAATCAGCTTAGAGGTGAACTTATGTCCTTTGCTATGATCACTCCCCTCGACAATCCCACCAGCAAAATGTGGTGATAAACTGCTCAAGCCAGCTAAAGGAGGGTTAGCTGACAAGGAGAAACTCAGACAAGGCGGAGTTAGAGATTCTGACATGTCCTTATTAAGGCCATGTCTTGGTCCCATATTGTCTGGTTTACGAAAACAGACGAAGAGGCACTTGCCAAGTTTCTCACCATCTCGGGGGTTTTTAGAATGGAAGGTTCATCTCGTTTGATCTGCTCGGATGCTGAGGCTATGTCGTTGACCCCTATGGACTTGGTCAACTGCAGGGGCCTCTCTGTGCTGAATTCGTCATCGTCAAATGTGCCATCAATTGCTTTTATAATCAGCGAGTCAAATTTGCCATTAAGAATGTCACCAGCGGTCTGAAAAATGGGTCGAGTATAAAAAGTAAATCAAAAACAAAGAATATATATGTGAATATTACATATGTGTGTGACAATGGGAACCACACTTGAATTTTCAAGGGAATAGAAAATGAAAATGCAGATAAGAAGTATATTTAAAAGCACTACGTTAGGTTTTATTGTTTTAATTGGCGATAATGAATCATATAACAGGCTAGCAGCAATCAGCTTAGAGGTGAACTTATGTCCTTTGCTATGATCACTCCCCTCGACAATCCCACCAGCAAATTGTGGTGATAAACTGCTCGAGCCAGCTAAAGGAGGGTTTGCTGACAAGGAAAAACTCAGACAAGGCTGAGTTAGAGATTCTGACATGTCCTTATTAAGGCCATGTCTTGGTCCCATATTGTCTGGTTTAACGAAAACAGAAGAAAGAGGCACTTGCCAAGTTTCTCACCATCTCGGGGGTTTTTAGAACGGACGGTTCATCTCGTTTGATCTGCTCCAATGCTGAGGCTATGTCGTTGACCCCTATGGACTTGGTCAACTGCAGGGGCCTCTCTGTGCTGAATTTGTCATCGTCTAATGTGCCGTCAATTGCTTTTATAATAAGCGAGTCAAATTTGCCATTAAGAATATCACTAGGGGTCTGAAAAATGGGTCGAGTATAAAAAGTAAATCAAAAACAAAGAATATATATGTGAATATTACATATGTGTGTGACAATAGGAACCACACTTGAATTTTCAAGGGAATAGAAAATGAAAATGCAGATAAGAAGTATATTTAAAAGCACTGAATTAGGTTTTATTGTTTTAATTGGCTCTAATGAATCATACAGCAGCAATCAGCTTAGAGGTGAACTTATGTCATTTGCTACGAGGAAAGAAAGAGGCAAAATGGTACAAAGAAAACAAAATAATATCTAATTTTGTTGTAAAGTATGTATAATTTCAAACAGAAGTTGAAAATTTTATGAAATGAAAACATCATCCTCATTCCTCGCATATCACCATAATCCATTAAATTGTAATGCCTTTTTTTTTCTGGATAAAATAAAGAATAAGTCTATCAACAAAACTCGTTCACGTTAGAAGTATAATGGAGCAACTCTTGAAGCTCAAGTGACCTAATTACCATTGTTTCCCTTGCATGGGTCTCCAAACGCTTTGCACAGCTTATGCAAGCAACACCCCCAAAATCCATGTACTCGTGTAGATGCCTTGAAGCAATGCATCCACAGTGAACCATCTGACATGCAAAATAGAAAGGATCAGATGGATATGAAGACTGTATAACATCGAACAATGTGAATTTACATTTATATTATTATAGCTTTAATACCTTTCCACATACTCTGCATGGCCGCCAACCAAAGTCCTCCGAGTGGAATGTTTCACAGAAAATAGAATTCTCATAGGCAGATCTGGAGTTCACATTGACCAATTTATACTGAATTATTTTGAAAATATATACAGAATCTAATTCTATTTTTAGATTATTAAAAAGCTGAATAACTGTAATGACATGTTGCAATGTGCAATACATTAGAGTACTTTGACCAATTTGAAAAAAAGAAAAAAAAATCTAAATAAAGCAATGCAAACTTCAACGCACTAGCAGAAGAATTCAATATGGTCTTAATGTACAAGAATCATATATAAGTCAAAGCATTACGTTTTCTTCATGCAACTAACAAGTATTCAACTTTAGTTAATTCACGATAATGTACATGTGTATATCATAACTCATAACAAGCCTTCAAAATCAAACCGGCATACCTATTTCTTCTGGTTGAAAGCAGATATCCAGAGAAAACAGATAATCATATATTTTCTTTCAGAGATAATACACAAAGGCGGGCAGTCATCTCAGATTTCCTCGCATCAGCAATTGAATTGAAACAATAACAATACATTGCTTGACTTTTCATATCACAATCCAAAAACATGTTATTTTATTTTTGCAATTTTGCTGACTAGCATGTATGTAAAACCTCAAGTCGTTCGTCACTAACTAATGCAGCTTCTCATCTTCAATTCACTTCAAAAAATGAACTTTTCGTCAAAATATACCAAAAAATGCCACGTTCCGAAACTAACAACATGGATAAAAGGCCAAAAACTCTGAAATGGTTTTGATGAAGAAAAAGATTATTCTAAAAATAGAAAACAATTAACCAACAGATACCAAAGGAACCAATCCATGATAACAAAACCAAAAACATCTCCACTGTTGAGATATAATGGGAATCCAATTTGCTCCATACCCAAAATACCCTTTGAAATTGAAAAAAACAAACAAGGCAGCACCATGATGAACACCATCAATTCAACGAGGTCATGATCAGAAAGCCGAAGAAATTACCCGCAATTGTAACAAAGCCAAGCTAGTCCACCTGATTTCAAGCTCCAACCTTTCTTCCAGTCGGGTGACGTTGTTGCTCGGCACACCTCATTCATGCAATTTTTCGACCCCATTTTCTCGCAAAATCAATTCTTGAATTGAAACTACCACTCTACAACAAAATAGAAGGAAAACCCAGAGACAAAGCCATCAATCAAAACCCTAATTCCCATCGATTAAACCCAGTTGACCCAGATCAAAGGAACTACACAAAAATCAACAAAGCCCACGACTTTAAATCACAGAACGACTGCACTATTCCATCTCAATACCCCAAATCATCAACTAATTTCATGACCCAAAAAAAAAATAAAATAAAAAGATTAAATCACCCACTCACCCAGTCCCAAATCTGTGAAATTCAACGTCCGCATGCCAACATCCTCACACAAAAAGGGCCCCAAATTGCTGACGCCAAGTTCTTGAAAACTTCAATCGACACTGAGATTATTGAAACAGAGCCACAGATATATAAAGAATTGACTGAAAAAACACAAAAAAAAAAAACAACACGGCGGCGCTTGGTGGCTAATTCCACTTATTACAGATTCAAATCAGATCAAATCGAACCAGATAAAAATGAAAATCAGATAAAGACGATGAGTGAGATTGTACAACAGTAGATTAATCTCATTCATGGACGTGTGCCCATCTGTTTAGAGAGATGAAATAAGGTGTGTGCATGCAGAATAAGAGGGGAAATTGAGAAGGGTTGCGACAAAATGCATGCACGACACGCTTTGAGAAGAAGACCAAAGGCTTCCTTCGTCTACTTACATTATCATCTGTATAGAGTTGGTCCTCGGCCCCCAAAACCACTCTTTTTTTTTTTTTTTTTTTTTTGTGGGGTGGTTTATTTATGCTTGGTTTTGAGGATTTTGCAGGGTGTGGGGGCGTTCAGACAGGGATACGGTGGGGCGGCGGTTTCGTGGATTCCCATGACTAGTGACTGAGGTGAAAAAGGTCAAGTCTTTTTATCTTTGAGGCAAGACTCATCACCGCTGGACTTGGGGACTGCTAATAATTGTGTAGTTTTTGATTTATATGCCCACATGTTGGCCTTTTTTCCATCCTCATTGTTGGTGAAAATAACGTGTTTTAATTTTTAAAATCTAATATCATCATATTTGGTAAAATATATATAAGGTTGAGTAAATCGTAGTCATAAAATCGTATGATCTAATGGTTCAAAAAAACTACAATTATACTATCATTAAAGGTAATATGGTATTTTTACACACCCAAACAGCAGACCCATATACCACATCATCTCTCTCGTTCTCTCTCCGTCTCATACACGTCCACACAACACACACCACCTCACATTCATGTAACACACACCACACACGCAGACACACATAAAACACATGCACCCACACACCACACACACACACACAAACATACACACAACACAGACTCGTCGCCGGTAACCGAATCATCGTCGTCTTCGCGCCGTGCCCGTCACGCTGTCCTCGCATGTCCTGCCAGACGCAGTCGTCGCCTAGCACCAGATGTCGCCGTCGTCCTCCATAAACTCGTTGTCAGCCACCATCAAAGCTCCCGTCGAACACCTGAAAAAGCTTCGTCGAACACAGACAATCCATCTCTTGCCGACTACCGCCGGCAAATGCCTATCGGGCTTAGACGCAACCAACGACCGCCATGAGCTGCCTCGATTCCGTCTCGTCGTCTCCGACATCCTCCTCCACCTAGAAGTTCCGTCGCCGCCGTTGACCCCCGTCGTCCTTACTCCACCTCACCGATTAAGGTACATCGGTCGTTGGCGCCTGAAGACTAAATATCCAAGCTCGGCCGCCATTAATGACGCGTTAAAAAAAGGATAATTATCCACATCGGCCTTGATGGCATGACACGATGGTGTACGTTGAGGACGACAACAATGTCGCCGTATGCATCGACGTCGGACATCGTCGTCCGGAGTGGCTGCCGGAGCAGACGGGTGTTAGGTACGTAGAAGATGATTTTTGGTTTAGACCTTTTTTGAGAATTAGATAATTTTAAGGGGTTTGGTTGCAATTTAATGAATTTTGATTATACTACAATTTGATACATGTGTCAAAACTGTAATTTGTAGAAAGTTCAATATACGAGTATTAGTTGTAAAAAAAAAGGGATGCACAATATATTTGTATTTAATCACACTAAATATAAATGTCATGGAATAACACAATAGTGTTATATGAAACGCATGCTAACTATCGATAGATTGCACCGTAAGGATCGAAATTTATTGGACTAAATTTTCGGTTCGATTTTTTATGTCTTGTTTTTAGTTTTGAATTTCAAGTATCAGCTAGATGTCAGCATTGTCATTAAAAATATTAAAAATCAGTCCAAATATACAAAAAGCTATAATTTTTTATATTATCTATATATATTAGATATTTTTCAACCAACTAAGTAATATAAAATAATAAACAAAAATAATAAAATACTAAATATATTTCATTACATAAAAATATTTCATTTCGACTGTTTAATTTATTTCAGTTAACGGAACACATATCCCGATTATTTTGTTCGATTTTAGTATGACTTGAGACAAATAATTAACCGTGACATGTTTGCGGCAAATTTATTAAACGTGACGGCAATACGATTGCACAATAATGTTATAGTAGATGCTCATCTATGTATGCGTGCTTGCACATTATAGAGTTCGGTTCTTGCACTTTATCAATACCGGTATTGCGTACATTATATATTTCAATAAAAATAATATAAAAATAATAGATAAACATGGTGACATACTAAATGTAATTTTAATATAAATAATAAATTGTGTCAATTATTTAAGATAACTCATTTCACCAACTGAATAAACCAAATAATTCAGTTCGGTTTCAATTTTTTTGGGACAAAAATTTGTTCGAATCAATATACACAATATCGACCAGCCCCGTGCACCATTGCGTTAGAACACTGTTGTAAGTATTTTTAACCGGAGTAGAATCGAAAGATTCGTCACCGGGTCGTATCACGAGGAAGGTTAGCCGGATTATTTGTACGGATATTCGATCACAAGTAAAGAGAAAAGAATTTCCTAAACACTCTAATTCAAGTTGGAGATTTGATTTATCAACTACGAATATTAAAGCAAAGAGACACGGAATTTCAAAGCAAACGATTAACTTGGTTATAAAGGAGTTAGGGAGTCGGGGACAATCGTTTTCGGTTCTTGACTCAATTACCGGGCAATCAATTGCTCGGTTAAGGGGATTGAATCACCTATTCGTATAGAGGTTCACCTTCAATAACTCTTCGTAACAAGAAGGTGGACATACAGAGCAACTCATCAAACCCTACAACACATAGACAATACAATAACGAACAAGACTATTCCAAACGAGCCTAAATCGACCGACGCCTCCCCTTTCGGTTTAAACGTCAATTGATTAGGTTAGATTGGTGATCAATCAACTAACCCTAGAATATGCACAACTCGCAAGGATTGAACAATTATCAAACACGTAATTGAAAACGAACCGAAACAATCGTCCCCTGTCCCTAACTTACGGAATTAGCCACTCATCACAACATCAACACAAGCATTCACCATAAAAGAAGCCATCACATTCATGTATAAGATGAAAAGAAAAGCTTACGATTAATACCAAATCCAAAGTCGATGAATCAACGAGCCAACCAAATCCAAAGCTAGAAAATGAGTTTAAATCCTCCAAAAATCCAATCCAAGATGAAAGATAGATCAAAAGTAATGTTCTAGGGTAGAAGCTGCTCCAAAAACAAGTCTGAATCTCCCCAAAAAACGCCCCCCAATTGATTTAGTACCCTTCCCTTTTCAAAATCCATGAAATCCGCGATAGACATAAAACAGACCTTAGCGGCGCTAAGGGGTTAGCGCCGCTAAGGCATCTTAGCTGCCGGCTTCTGTCCGCGTTGAAATCCAAAGCGCCGCTAACACACGGGCCTTAGCGGCGCTAAGGCTCCGTTGGTCCAAGAATGAGGTCTTTTTCAACGGCTCGTGTGTTCGGCTTCGTCGCTCGGGTACTGCCCGAGCTGGGAACTCGATCCCCGCACGCTTGGCCCACAGAAATACTGCTCAAATCATCCACTTCTTATCATGTTTGAACACTCGCCTGCCCGATCATCGTACAACCTGAAATCGCACCACCGAACAAAACACGAAAACAAGAGAAAATAGGAGGAAAAAAGCAACAGAAAAACTATACAACCTAAAATGAAGATAAAAGCATAAGAAAAGACTAGACGGACCGAAAAGACCTAAGAAAAGACCTAAAACGGGGGAAACGAAACACAAAGTATCAAAGAAAATTAGTAACAAAAACGGGACAAACAAACACACTTAATAGCTATTGTCTTTTGAGAAGCTTCTAATTTGATTCAATGTCTAGTAATCCAATGAAATATGGACTCCTATGATCAGTTCGAGTATATTCGATGCATTTGGATTAGTATATATATATATAGATAATTTTAAATCATTTTATTTTGGAAGTTGTTAAATAGATATGTGATTTGTCACTGCGCTTGAACTATCTTTCATGCAGTAAGGTACTGATCTTATTTTCTGCTGATTGGCTTCTTTCTTCTCCCTGTATTCATGTGCCAAGTTTTTTATTCCTTTTATATAATTGTTAGAGTCATGGCATGAGAGGGCCTTCTCCTGATTTTTCCCGATGTTTTCAAATGGTATCATTTTTTTTTTTTCAGGTTCTCGACGCGACTAACAATGAGTTCTGGGGCCCTCATGGGTCACTTCTAGCCGATATTGCTAATGCGACGAGAAATTAGTAAGTTTGGATCAATTCAATGTAGACTATTTCATGATCCCACATTTATTATTTTTATTTTTTTAGATGATCATGTCGGTTATCTGAAAACGTACAAATGATACTGGGAAAAGTTGGCGGAGTGTATACAAGGTTTTCTTCTAATGATATAGAACTGTTCAATATTGGTTGTACTATGTTCAATTTATACACGCCCATCCATCAAATTCAAGGTTGGGGAGACGCCTCCCATATCAGTTGTAATCTCATCCATACAACACAGCGATTAAAAGTTGTTCAACGCCATGACGTGAGGTGAGGCGCATGAAAATGTTTCTTTCAATAGTTCTTTATTCCGAAATGGACTATGTGAAAATGAATACACATTTTCGCAGATCCCCAATTGTTTGTATATGGTTCTTATCTTATGGATTATAGTAAAGCGGAAAAGTTGTTGTCATTTGTTTTTACAGAAGTGTAGTATTTTGATGCCTATTTTTTGCTGTTGTTATATGCTTCTACAACTTATTTTTTGTGTTTGATGTGAATAATATAAGCAAGTTCCATTGTTCTGGTTAAGTGGTGGTTTTTTTTTTTTTATTGGTTGATTTTAGATGAAATAATCTTTTCATACCTCCATCGAGACGAAGAGTCTGTCCTCCGGCTGGGCATGGGACTGACGGGGACTTATTATGAGTTATTTACCGGGGATCGGAATTCTCGAGGTTGGCTTTCGACTTTGAACATATTCGAAATCATTTTTTATTTTGATTTTATGATTGCTACAGTGCAAAGTTCATTGACACCTATGCTCCTCAGTGATCCTCCTCAGTTGTCTGCAAGTGATTTTTGTTTTCCCTGCAAAATTGGAGGCAACAGGGCTAGTACATTAAGCCTGATCTCTATTCCACATATTGTTCATGATTCTCCTACTTATATACTTACACAACATGGTTAACTCCATGGAGAAAATAAACTGATTCTAAAAGCACAACAACAATCACTCTGGAAAATTATCTTGTTTTAAACACAAGTAACTTAGAAATTGAAGGCTATTCGCGGGAAAATTCCCCTTTTGATGTTGAGTTCTTGTAGGTTTGGAGACCTTTCGAGGTAGAAGAAAGCAGATCCAATCGCATTAGTTCGCATAAATTCTATATTTTATACATTCATTTTTGCTCTCCAGTTAGACTTGATATTGTACATAAATACATTTCTCAAACTTGATAAGTGTATATTTATTTATTTTTTTATTTTTTTCTCTTAGTACACATTTCCTTCTTAGTTTGAACAAGTATCAATTATATTTTCTCTCATAATTTACGATTTACAAATCGCTTCCGCACCGTCTATTCCTTTTTTTTCGTCAATTAGTCCATCAAAAATTTTAGATAAAAAATTTATTTTAGCAATAACATTTATCATATTTCTTAACTCAGCACTCATGTAGTATACGGGTATTGCAGAGTAGCAGCAACTTTAATAATCAAACTCCATAAATTTATGTTATCAATTTTCCATTTATCATGTCACAAAAAACGTGGATCTTACTTATACAACCGCAAACCTCTTAATAGCCATTACCTCATAGTCTCATATACATTTTACATAATTCCTTATGTTATCCACTTTAAATAATGTTATAATTTAAATGTTTATTGATATTTCACAAATAAAACTTTATTTATTAATTTTATTGATCGAAAATATAGTTAATACTTTTTAAGTGGTAGGTAATTCTATTTGGTAGTCAAAATTTGTATAACAAAAAGAACACGAACTATACGCGTGAGAAGAATTTTTATTTTCAGATTGGGTTTAATTCTATTTTTATTAAGATACTTCACATTTTTTTGTCATCAAAATACATCAAATTTAAAAGACATTTTAATCCCTATAATTTCTTACAAGAATAACTCATTCTTTGATTATAAAATAGATGAATAAACATACAAAAAACAATTTTCCACTCTTAATACAATTAATCAAATCTACAACATGTAAAAAAAAAAAAAAAAAAAAAGAAAAAAAAGTTCAACACAAAGCTTCATATATTTCAACATTATAACATATGATTTCATTTCTCAAATTGTAAGAGACAACAATGAGTTACAAAGATAAGACACATTCTAAAGCAAGCATAATAAACAGACTCAGAGGACTCAGCCACAATCCACACAAGCAAAATGTGTCAAAAGTAGAATTATCTCCATCTCAAATCGACCTCGGCTTCAGAACAATCGTCGAGTGTTTCAATATGTGCAGACTAAACTGCCCCCCTTTCTCAGTCGTGTCGATCTTCGACTGCCCAGGTGGCGGCAAAAGCTCGAAATTCTGAACGAGCCGGCCAATCGTGATCCCAAGAATCGGGAGCGCGAGTATAATTCCTGGGCAGCTCCTACGGCCCACACCAAACGGCAAGTACCGGAAGTCATTTCCATTGGCCTCAACTTTTGACTCCTCTTCAAAGAACCTCTCGGGCCTGAACTCTTCGGGCTTTTTCCAGTGGGCCGGGTTGTTAGCAAGCCACCAGGCGTTGACTAGGATCTTGCTCTCGGCTGGGATGTCGTAGCCTCCGAGCTTTGCATCGTGGAGGTTCATGTGAGGGACGAGGAGTGGGATGGCCATTCGAAGCCGAAGGGTTTCTTTGATCACAGCTTGCAGGTAGGGCAGCTTGTGGGTATCCGGCTCTGTGATTTGGACACCGGGCCCGAGAACAGAGTCCAGCTCGGCCCGAAGTTTGTTCTGGATTTCTGGATGGTTCACTAGTTCAGCTATGCCCCACTCGATCGACCATAGCGTTGTCTCGATTGCTGTAAAGAAGTAAATAAGTTTAAAACAACAAAAAAAAAAGATATGTTTGACGTCACACTCGGACATATTTGGGTTGGGCCAATTCTTGCTGCAATATAGGCCTTGTAATTAAACACGAGCTAATCGACCGATTGTACCATTTGAATCTATACGTTAGACTAATTCTTGCTGCAATATAGGCCTTGTAATTAAACACGAGCTAATCGACCGATTGCATCATTTGAATCTAAACGTTAGACTAATCGACCGATTGCTAAAAATTGACTCTTGAAGATGAGATGGTTGAGACTGAAGATTCAAGGGTTAGTTAGGTTTGGTGGTTGTGATCACTTATGGCATAAGTTACGTGGAAAGGCAGATAGCCACACACAAGGCAGAATTCTGTAGAAAATACCGAAAACCACATCAACCCGTCTCACAAAATATGACCTTTTGGATAATTCTTTACAAACTCATTGGAATTCAGGGGAAATGTACACAAGAGTATTAGATAATTGGGGTTCTGCTTCATATATGAAAAAGGACAACTATTGTAAAACATCATTATGAATGCTATATGAGATTATCGTTCCTATTAGAATTGTAAAAATCAGATTTTACTTCAGAAATGTAAAACAACCCTGAAAATAGAGAATTACCAGCAACATTGATATTCTCAACAATGTAAAGAACATTGTCTTCATTGATCTCTCCCTTCTGTTGGGCTTCAAGAATGTGATCGATCGCGCATTTTAAGCTGTCGTTGTCTGTTGGCTTCGTGCTCCCGAGCTTCCTGTACAAACAGTAAAGTGCATTATTAATTTATTTCCCTTATAATTTTGGATGACTCCTTAAGTCGAGCCATCGACAAATCCATTGCTAAACCGTAAACCATAACTACTCCATGTAAATTAGACAAGGCATTTTCCATCATTCAAATCTGTGTATAAGAAGGATATTAATTAGCCTCAGATAGCACTCTTAAATTCTAATGTATATCATAACCTCAAGAAAGGATCATGGAGTATGGTTCAATATTTATATGACTGTGTCTCTTTCCCTTTGTCAAATGCATCTCTGTATGAACATTTTCAACTCAAAAGACAGCATAATCTATACACTAAACTCTAAAGTACAAATTATGCTCATAATAATAACCAAAATGATGTTAAGTAGTAAAAGGGAACTTACTTTCTCTCATCAACAAAATAGTCCTTGAACAACTGCAGCCTCCTCTCCTTCACCTCCTTGCAGATCTTCAGATAGCCCCTCAAAAACGGCCTCAAGATCGGGATAAAATCACCATAGTTGTACTCAAAGCTCTGCGCCAATCGGCTCCTCTCACCATTCAGAGCCTTGAGCTTCACAAACAGTGGATCGTCCTCGCTCTCGAACCTCCGGTCGAACATGATCCGGTACATGTTGTTGTACATCATCAGCTGCAGCCGGCGCCTCAGCACGATCCCCTCCGTCGCCGCCGCCGGGTTCTTCCTGACGTCCTCCACCACGGCGGCGGCCTCCGCCTCCCAGCCGCCGCGGTACTGCTGGACGACCTTGTTGGTGAAGAAAGGGACGGTCATGATGCGGCGCATCTTGCGCCAGTGCTCGCCGTACACCGTGAACACCATGTCCTGTCCCTTGCCGGTGAAGATGTCGAACACGACGTTGCGGGTGCGGGAGCCGAACTCGACGCCCTGGGTGTGGAGCACTTCCTTGGAGAGATCCGGCGAGGAGACCACCACCAGGTTGCGCTGCCCCATGCGGAGGAGGAATATGTCGCCGAATTTGCGGGCGTAGTCGGTGAGGTTCCTGTGGTTGAGATCGTCGCCGACCTGGAGCCAGTTTCCGAAGATCGGTACCGGTATCGGCCCAGGAGGAAGCCTGAATTTCTTGCCGCGGAGCTTGGAGACGACGGCGGCGACGATTATGGCGAAGAAGAGCCCTAAGAGGGTCTTCTCGAGGAGGAGAAGATCCATAGTGGAGGAGAAGGTGTTTTTACAATCAGTTGCTTAAATTATTTCAATTTTCTTTTCTGGGCTTTTTTTTCGCGGCGGGGGTATTGGTGATTGTGCGGCGGAGGACGGTGGTTGGTGGTGACGGAGCTGGTTGGAGGTGAAGGGGGTTATGAAGGGGATTTATAATTTGGGTAGGGGGTGTTAGGTGGCGGGTGTGGGTCCCAGTATGGGTTCAGTTGGAATTTAACGGCGTTAGTTTTGACGGAGGGAGTTGGCTTTTGCTTTGGGCGGGGTAGGTAAGGGAGGTTTGGTGAGAGCCACACAAGTCAACCAACTTTTAGGATTGGTGGTGAATGTGAGATGCAAATGTGCTAAATTTAAATAGTTACCGTGTTATTTGACAATTAGCCAATAATTAATTGCTATAGTGAATTACATATATGGAAAATGTTACGGGAAATGTTATGGTCATGTTACGGTATCATTCGGTTGGATATTTTGACCATTAGATCATCAACCTTATCTAATCACATGTGGATTCAACGGCTAAAACAGTCGATGAGATGATACCGTAACAGATCCGTATTTGACTAGTTAAATATGCATTTAGTAAACAGTAAAAAAAAAATTAATTGTTATTTTGCATTGTCTTTCATTGAACCTTATATTCTAAACCCTTATTCTTTCATACTTTTTTCAAAATAGCGTTTTGAGCACAAAAAAACTAATCAACTAAGATCATTACCAAACAAGCTAAATTAATGAATTCAATTGGTAAAAACATCTAAATAGTGCTTAATTCATAGTTTAACATTGATCCGCTGATTAACAAACGAGTCCATACGTATTTTAATTTAACATAATCACAAATTTTGAGTAAGGTATTCGAACAAATATATGGATATTCCCTTCACAATACTTATCCCATAATATAATTATAATTTTTTTTTATGTGAGACAATCTAAACGTTAGACTAACGACCGATTGTATCATTTGAATAAAAGTATATATTTATACAATGAAATGCCATAGTTATGTTTATATTGTTTTTCAAAGTATGATATTTTCTTATAAGAAAATCATATTTTCACTCATTTGGTTGATTTAACCAATACAGACGATAGTGTAATATTTGAAATTTGAATTGTGTGTAAGTATTAACTATATGTTGTTTTGTTTAATGACTATTAACATTAATTAGTTGATTTTTGCTTGAGCTCGTCGAATGAATTGTTCTGACTTATTGTGAGGGTCGTTATGTGACATTAAAATAACAATTGGCGATTTTAATTGGGACATTTCTCGTGTTTATTTTTTGTTTTAACATGATGTAGTCTAACTTAACTGTTAAAAAAAAAAAAAAAAAAAAAAAAAAAAAAAAAAAAAAAAAAGATAAATCTTCATTGGATATAACATTTTTTTATGATAATACTGTTGAAAATTAAAATAATGTATTAATAAAACTAATATTTGATGACGTGCACAATTCAAAATTATAAATTTCACCTTATAAACATTTGTGTACATTAAAAAATTATTCAAATTTATTAAAAAATCATAATTTTATTATATACTATTTTATAAATAAAAAAACTTAATTATAACAGTCAAGTATCATGTCGAGATTATTGTGACAGGCAAGTTCGACTTTACTCGTGAGGACAGTAGATCAAAATTATTGTTATAGGACAAGTTCGACTTGCGAGTTTGTTACCATTGAATTACACACACATACAATGCTATGAGGACGCAACAAAATTAACGCAAAGCTCGTGTTCTATTGTCTAACAATTTTTTAAAGATATTTTTTTAAAAAACATACTCCCTCCTATTCAAAATAAGTGTCGTTTTGAGAAGTTGCACAATTATTAAGAATATTTTTTTTGCCAATAATAACCCTCATTAATGAGGATAGAGATAAATGTTTTGAAAAAAGATGAAGAGTGAACATGAAAAGACGTAGTATATTTGTTAACTAAATAAAGGTAATAATGGAAAAATATGTACAAAATATCTAAAACAACATTTATTTTGTTAATAGTTGATAATGACAAAATGACATTTAAAAAGAATAGGAGGTAGTATCATACTTTTACTACTAAATATAATTAAAATTTTATATATATTATTTGTTAAAATAATATTTTTGAATATAAAGGTAAATAGCATAAGTATTATTACAATTACAATTACAATTACAACTAGTGTTGCTACCCGTGCGATGCACGTGATACAATATAATTTTTTTATTAAATTATTTAAGATAATATGTCAATTTTATTTGACACAACATATCAAATTTGTAATATATAATGTTTATATAAATATTTTATTTTTTATTTTTCCAATTTATTTTTGTAGGTATGAATTTGATTAGTTATTAATTTATAAAATATTATAGAAATGTAAGATTTAAAATATAATGATTGTATACCAATTACTTGCATTTATTTATATAATTATCGATCATATTAATCTTATAATTTTTTAGCAATTCATATTTTGAATATTGCTCGATAGCTGACTAATGTTTAATTCATAAAATTAAATTTTATTTATAATCACTCTAATTGCAACAAATACTTACTTATGATAATTAACTTTTAAATTTTAAGTAATTTTTATCACTTATGCAACACAAATTTTTCAGATTAAATATTTTATTTTGTATTTTTATATTTTTTGTATATACTTATTTATTTAATTCATTTAACTTTTCAGATTAAATATTTTATTTTGTATTTTTATATTTTTTGTATATACTTATTTATTTAATTCATTTAACTTGATATAGTAATTTAATTAATAAACAAATTTAATATTTTTTATTCCATTGACTGTAAAATCTTATAATTTCAATTGTTACTTGACTATGTAATATTATTTACTTATTGTTCTTTATAAAACGATATATAATAAATTTTATATTTTTGACATCTTGAATAGTGTTTTGATGTATATAGATATTTTAATGTGAAAATTATAATTCTTAATTTAACCCGACCATAAAAAAATAATTTATTAATATATATTCATTAGATTTTAGATTATTCATGGTTAAGTTGACTTTATTTTATAAAAGTTTATTAATATTTTAAATTTTTCATTCATCTAATATAATTCAAACATAATCATTTTCATTATTTTATTATATATTATAAGTGTTTTTTTATTGATGATCATAATTCATATTGACATTCATGAGATAATAACAAAACCAATCAAAATATTTTTTACTATTATAATGAGTAATTTTTTTTATTAAATTATGTCAACAAAATTACTATGAAATTGGTATTGTTGGTCTTATTCAAAATATATCTAATCAATCAATCATTCTATTTAAGTGTGTATGTGTGTGTGTGTGTGTTTGGCTATATATTAACGTTGATTTTTGTTTTTTTTTTTATATTTACCCAATTGTCAAAACAAAACTTGTACTAATACATTTATATCTTTGAGTATATTATTAAATAATTAATTTATTTTCACAATCTTTGAGACCAAATTTACTTCAAGCAATAATTAATTTAAATATTTTCAAAGTCGTACTAATACATTTATATCTTTAAGTATAATATTAAAACAATTAATTTATCTTCATGAATCTTTGAGACCAAATTTTAATTCAAACAATAATTGGTTCAAATATTCTCAAATTCTTTAATAAACTAACCAATTATGGTTTTATGTAATAAATGAATGTCTAATAGTAATTGCCAAATTTAGCTGAAATATTTAGGCGGGAAAATTTGTTACGTATATAGTAAAATGGATTGGCCTATTATATAGATAGAGATTAATTTATTTTTCACAATCTTTGAGACCAAATTTACTTCAAGCAATAATTAATTTAAATATTTTCAAAGTCGTACTAATACATTTATATCTTTAAGTATATCATTAAAACAATTAATTTATCTTCATGAATCTTTGAGACCAAATTTTAATTCAAACAATAATTGGTTCAAATATTCTCAAATTATTTAATAAACTAACCAATTATGGTTTTATGTAATAAATGAATGTCTAATAGTAATTGCCAAATTTAGCTGAAATATTTAGGCGGGAAAATTTGTTACATATATAGTAAAATGGATTGGTCTATTATATAGATAGAGAATAGAGATACTTGGTGGAATTTTTTATTGTTTTTTTCTTTAAGAAAATTAATATAGTATGCCATTTAAAGTATTATTACTTCACCATACGGACAACATGGATATTAAATTAAGGATTATAATTATCCTCTTTACAAAGTCAAACTACTCGTGGAATAGTACAGTTTGGTAGGTTTTATTTGTGATTATTGGTTAATAGGGAAATTGTTAGTTGTTGACTTAATTAATAAATCATAAAGGCTTCGTAAGATTCAAGAACTCATTAACAATTTGTATTACTATATTAATGAATCATGAAGTCATTAATAATTTGTATTAGTTTGAAGAAAAAAATTATACTACCTCCTATTTTAAATAAATGTCGTTTTGACTTATGTCTAGATACATAGCAAAATGGATGAATAAAAAAAGTTAAAACGATATTTATTTAAAATAGGAGGGAGTAATATTTGGTTTCACAATATAAAGGAAATATATATAGTATTATATATCAATTTATTGAAAAACAATTTCGCAAAATATGAATAAATGAACGTTTAAGCCTCTATTTTACGTTATCCAATGGTTAGACAAACTAACAAAAACATGTATTTTTCGATTTATTGTTATTTTCTAACCACGATCCA